AATAGCATACTTAAAAAACAATAAAAAAATATTGTTGTCAATATATATTCGTCTATTAATACTATATTGATTATCTATTGACAATTTAATATTATTTTTGATAAATGTATTTTTTTAATGTAAAAAAAAAAGTAAGATATTTTTTAAAATTTTAAAAGTCTAATAGTATTTTTGAAATTCTTAAAAAAAGAAAATTAAAAAATATTAATGAATTTTTTTGAAAACTAAAAAAAAATTAGTTTAAAAGTATCATAAAAATTTTAAGGTATTTTTAAACTAATAAATAAATAAATATATATATATATATATATATATATTATTAATTTAGCTTTGGTATTTTTATAAGAAAATCAAACCGTTAAGCATGCTCCCATGTGAATATTTAAAGGGGCCATATTGACCCACGTGTGTGATGTCAATAAAATACGGTACACGTGTATGCACATCTGCCTTCCACGTCACATACTGTGGTTCGAGCTTGTTTAAATAATTTTCAAATGGATAATTTATTTATTTTTAACGATTTGTTTCCATTTTTATAAACTTAAAATATATATATTTTTTATTTGGTTGTTCAAAGAATATAATCAAAAGATTTGTTTAATTGAAATTGAAATTTTAGTTGAACCAATTTTATTAATTTCACTATCTATTTAAAAAAAATTACAAAAACAGTCTTTAAAAAAAAAATAAAAAAAATTACTTCCATTCGGGTAAGGATGTGTTAAATCAATCTCTAAAATTTTGAAGTTGAATTTGGCTCCATAAAATATTCACAACCATCGGAATAAAATATGTAAAAGCGGATATCACAATCTACCTCTTTTGGGATCAGCGTCCTCGCTGACACTCTTTCTTTTCTCGGATCGATGTGGGATCCTCACTAAATCCACCCCTTTAGGGCCAGCGTCCTTACTGACAAACTGTCTCATGTTTATCCCCTTTGGGGAACCGCCTCGACTCTTTCTTTTATCTGATTGATGTGGGACCCTCATCAAATCCACTCCTTTAGGGCCAACGTCCTTAATGGCACACTCTTTATCCCTTTTGGGGAACAGCTTCCTTGCTAGCACATAGTTCGGTGTGACTCTGATACCATTTGTAACGGTCCAAATCCACTGCGAGCAGATATTGTCCTCTTTGAGCGTTTCCTTTCGGGGTTCTCTTTTAAAACGCGTCTACTAGGGGAAGGTTTCCACACACTTATAAATGGTGTTTTGTTCTCTTCTTAACCAATGTGAGACATTACAAGATATATTCTCTAACTAATTATTATAATATATTTTTTAAATATTATATCTTAATAATCTGCAGACAACTAAGATTTGGAAGGCAGCCAAAATAAATCCCTATCAAGAAAAAAAAGTTGCTATCAATGCACTTCCATGCACATGGAAGCATGAACCAAAAGGAGAACATACAGCCAAGCAGCCATGGCAGCTGCCACAACTTGTGGAAATTTTTGGTATGTCTTTTCGAGTCGGGACAACGAACAAGAATAAGTATTAAAACAAGAACGGACCACGGTGACGGAGGCAAAGATAGGACAATTTTTTATCATGTGGTTTATAAAATTTTTATTTATTTCATTATGTGTAATGTCCCGTGCTCCGGATTCTTATCTGGATTCGACACAGGTGTGCCAATTTTCATAGACCAACACGGGTTTTTTCAGCATAGTTTGTCTTCACTCACATATTTTCTATGAAATTTCAAAGAAGTCGTCCTCCATTAAATCACTTCAGGTAAAATACGCTCGACCTTTGAATTTTTATGATTGAGTCACTGAAAGTAAAGTGCGTTTTATTGGTATAAATAATAATTTTAAATTATTATTATTATTTTGTTATTTTATCTTCAAAATTTATCTCATTCATGTCTGGGTCGCAATTCATTTATATACTTTGGGAGTGTCACGTTCTAATTTTAACCCTTATGTTATTTTTTTTTTAATCAAAAAATGAAATGAAATGAGTGATTTAAATGGTTGATTAATTTTAGTTCTAATATCTAATTATTTGAATTATATTAAAATAAAAGATATTTTATATTTTTTTATTATTAATCTATATGATTTTAAAGGTTAGAATTAGTATTTTATTAAACTATAGGGATTAATTTTAATGTTTAAAACGATAGAAACTAAATTTTAATTTTTTTATATCAAGGACGTAGCTTTAGCTTAGACCAACCAAGTGACCATACTATTGACTCGGTCAGAAAACTTGTTTTTTGCATGACGATATGTGCCCAGTAGCCCTTGCACGTGTCATTTATTCTTTATATTATATGATAATGTGACTATATTATATGATGACGTGAATGTTATATGATGTTATACTACGATGATGTTATATGTGACGTTGTATGATGATGATGCATGATAACATGCGATATAAGATGTATAATGATGAGATGACTTAACCTTATGCCATATTAAGACAATGTGCAAGTATTAAATGTCATGATGCATTACGACGATGAGTTTTCTAAGATACAACCCTAGTTAATGTTAGTGATGATGAATGTATGAAGGTCAAAGCATGCACGTTACTTAGAGTAATATGTGAACGGTACATAGGGTTGTGTCATAAAGATGAAAACTATGAGGACCTCATGCATTTTGTGCATACATATAAATAGAGTTACTTCCCCATTTATGATGACGAGTACGAACACATAGATCATCATCATGTCTCGCAAGGGTCTACTGACCTACTGAGATCGCTACGGACAGCTAGCTCGACTGTGATGGGTCCAGGGGGGTGCGAGCCGCCTGGAGATCCACGCTCGCACGTGGGTCGTGTGTAGGGAAGTACTATACATCTAATTTTGTCTGGACTGAAAAACACCCTTATGATGGTTTTAACGATATATCCATAGATCATGAGTTGCATGTGTTTGCATTTCCTGACCCCAATAGTAGACATCGACGGTGGGACCATGGAACATGTCAAGCCTATCTCGTAGGCTAGTCTACAAAATCTATAACCTAGAGATTTGATACCAACTGTAATGACCCTAAATTTCCATTAACCTAAAGTCGCTATTGTCATCATAATCTAAGCTCTTATGCGGAATTAAACATTTAAAACCTCATTTTAAAACACATCCATGGACTTATATATTCGAAAGTATCTTTAAAACAACATAAAGAAATAATAAATAAAACAATTGAAACATCAAAGTATAAATATCCTATACTAACCTAAGTCTAAGAAAATAAAATACTACTACGCTATGCACGTGTCATGGTCTCTATTTGCGATGTCGTCGTCAGTCGTGCAAGAGTGTCTTGCCTTTACCTGAAATAGAAGCAACAGACTACTTGAGTATTTAAAGAAATACTCAGTAAGTGACTCAGGTCAAGGAATGAAAACACATGTAAATCATGATTAGGGACCTATCGTTAAAAACATCATAGGGGTGGCCTCCAGCCCGGACAAAATTAGATGTGTAGTACTTCCTTACCCACAACCCATGTGTGCAATGTGGATCTTTAGGCGGTTTGCACCCCCCTGGACCCATCATAGTCGAGCTAGTTGTTTGTAGCGATATCCGGAGGCCAGCAAACCCCCAAATATCATGCGAGACATGATGATGATGATCATCATCATCAAAATGTACATGTCTGTACTCATCATCATAAATGGGGAAGTAACCCGATGTATATGAACGCACAATATGCATGAGGTCCATTTAGTTTTCATCTTTAAATCATTCTTATGGCACAACCATCACATTAAGTCATCTCATCATCATTCATCTTACATATCATGTTATCATGCATTATCATCATCATGTTATCGTCTCATACCATCATATATATAATCACATCATCATATATCAACATCATACCATCATATAACATCATCACATTATCATATAATATCGTCACATTATCATACAACACCATTACATCATTATATAACATCATCACATCATCATATAACATAAATCATAAATAACACGTGTAAGGGCCATGGGACACGTGTCATCATACATAAGGCAACTCTTCCGACCGAGCTTATAGTAAAGCCACTTACTTAGTTGCCTCAACCAAAGTTCTATCTAGCTCCAAATTTGTTTGCTTACTCCTCTATGTTCCACCTCTCTATTTCTCTATATTTTTTTAGTTTTGCTTACCGCTACTTTTGACCAATTTAATTGATTTTGTTAAAAAAATGGCTATGGATCATTCTAAGATTTTAACTTTATTGTGATTTCCTAGAACCTATGAATCCTTTTGTTATTTCTTTTCTAGCACACTTCCATCCATTTGTAACGTAATTGATGAAATTCTAACGAATAATGAATTTGAAAATTTACTTACCGAAATGGTCTCGAAACGATAACATTACCCTCTGTGGACTTGAAGATGTTGGATGATGAAAGTCCCACATCGGTTAATTTAGGGAATGGTCATAGGTTTATAATGTAAGAATACACTCTCCATTGGTATGAGGCCTTTTGGGGAAGCCCAAAACAAAGCCATGAGAGCTTCTGCTCAAAGTGGACAATATCATACCATTGTGGAGAGTCGTGTTCGTCTAACAGAAGATTTTTGCCGACTTGAAGACTTCAAGGCAGAACAGTGGAACAGAGAGAACCAAGGGATGTCTACACTAATTTGAGTTGATCTCGCAAAAATTCATCACAAATAGGGCGAGGAGGAACAGAACCGAGGAGTTTTCTCCCCTTAAACCTTCGTCATATTATATATATATATATTATAATTTTATTTTATTTCTAATTTTTTTTTATATTTAGAAATAAAATAAAATTAAAAGAAAAAAATTATCAAATTTGGGGTTTTTTTAATTTTTTTTTTAATAAATGGGACAAAATGGCTAATTTGTAATTTATGGATTACTTTATTTAGTTATTTTGTATCTTTTTAAAATAAAATTATCGCATTTAATTTTTGTAATAATTAAAGAGTGTTTGCGACAGCAAGGCCATTCTGCTTTCCTTATTTTGCTTCATCAAGTTTCGTTCGGCGAGACTTTGAAGAGAGAGAGAGAGAGAGAGAGAGAGAGAGAGAGAGAGAGAGAGAGAGAGAGAAGAAGAGGAAGAAGCTGTTCTGTTAGACGGTGGTGGCCGCCATGGAAGCTTCCTTCATGCCTTTTTAATATTCAAAGCGACAGCGAAAGAGAGCGAACCAGAAGCGAATTTGTTGATGATTATCGAAAACACACGCACACACACACACACAAAAACGTTGATTTTATCTTCACATTTTTATAATTTTTCACAAAAGTATGATATTGCTACAAGGTTTCGTAGAGGTTTTCTTGTGCTGAGAATCAAAATTCTTGTACTTACTTCTTTCTACGTTATCGCTTCGGATTATCTTTATCTTCTTCTGTTGTTGGTCATTTTCGTCAACCCTAGAGTTTAGGCTTTTGGTTTTGATTCGTTCCTGTTTTCGTGTTCATCTGAGCAAGTTTGTAAAGTGGACGGATATCAAGATATCTTCGGCGAAAATTCTGGTTTTCGGGTTGGATTTTGTTTTGGCTAGGTCGGCGATTAGTAGGGTCTTACTGGGACCGGGTGGGACTTTCGAATCGAGCCGATTTTGCTAGTTCTTCTTGGTTTGTTGCTGGGGATTGGGGTCATCGATTGAAGGTTGTGGTTTGGTTTAGAATCGAGTAGTATTGAAGGTCGATAAACTTCGTAATTGATATTAGGTTTTTAGGGATTTTAGATCAAGCTACTTTAGCAGTGAAGTAGTGATTTGAGATTTCGGATCTAAGTTGAGTGTTAAGGTTTAAATGATGGACTTCTGAAGTCCAGCAGAAAGGGCGGGACATAATCTGGAAGGAAGAACAGCCGATTTGACTTTCCTTGCCGTGCCTCGGCCATTGACGACGGATAGGTTCTTCACGTTTGGGTTTGATACCTCTTTTGTGTGAAAGAAGGGTTTAATTTGGCCGTGGGAACCTGTGGTTGAGATTCTTCATTGTGGATAAGATGAGCTCAAGCGTGACAGATGCTGGTGCAAACAGCGGCAAATTGCTGGTTCATGTTTCTGAAAATGGACACTCCTTTCAGCTTGATTGTTATGAGGGTATGCTGGTTGAGGATGTGATGCGCTTGATTGAATCAGTCACGGGGATTAACTGCAATGATCAGTTTATTCTCTCATTGGATGTTAGGCTGGAATCTCAGCGACCCCTTTCTGTTTACAAGCTTCCAGCAGATGATCGGGAAGTTTTCTTGTTTGATCGATCCAGGCTACAAAGCAATGCACCGCCACCTCCACCGGAGCAGATTGATATCCTTGATATTGCAGAACCACCATCACCTTCAACTTCACAAGATTCCCATCCTTTAGATGATGCCTCGGACCCTGCTTTGAAGGCTTTGCCTTCTTATGAGAGGGAGTTTCGTTACCATTACCACAAGGCTCATACAATATATAGTAGTACGGTGATGAAGTTTGATTACTGTGAGAGGCTTTTAAGAGAGCAGAAGGTTCAAGAGAGAGCTTTAGAGGTTGCAAAGGGTAATTTGGATCAATACTTTAAAATGATTAATCAGAACTACACAGATTTCATGAGGCGTTATTCGCAGCAGCATCGGGTTCATACTGATCTGTTGGTTAACTTGGGTAGAGACATTGAGAAATTGCGGTCTGTTAAGCTTCATCCTGCCTTACAAACAGCGAATCACAAGTGCTTATTGGATTTTGTCAAGGAGGATAGTTTGCGGAAGTTAGCAGAAAATTGCAGCAGTTCGCACAGCCAGTTTGAGAACAAAGTTTTTCAATTCAAGGCAATGTTTAACGAGGTTAAGCGAAAAGTTGAAGATTTATTTTCCAGCAGGGCTTCTTTCTCTATCAAGAATTTGGAACTGAATATTAAGGAGCATCAGCGGTATATCAATGAACAGAAGAGTATAATGCAATCCTTGAGGTTAGCTTCTGTTTACTTATGCCATAACTCAAGCATGTTTACCTGTCTATTATAGTAGTTATTAATTGTCAAAGTGTATTTACAATGACTCTAAAATTTTATTTGTGCATAATAACGCAGCAAAGATGTTGATACTGTTAAGAAACTGGTGGATGATTGCCTATCTTGTCAGTTATCTTCCTCACTTCGCCCTCATGATGCGGTCTCGGCCCTAGGTCCTATGTATGATGTTCATGACAAGAATCATCTGCCAAGAATGCAAGCTTGTGATCGTGCAGTTTCCAAACTGCTTGATGTCTGTAAGGATAAAAAGATTCAAATGAACAACTTCTTGCACCATTACATGCAAAAGATTGCTTATAACTCTTACATCATCAAGGATGTCAAACTACAGTTTCCTGTTTTTAAAGAGGCAATGGGGCGTCAGGAGGACCTATTTATGGACCTAAAGTTGGTGCGAGGGATCGGTCCAGCCTATAGAGCTTGTCTTTCTGAAGTTGTGAGAAGGAAAGCCTGCATGAAGCTTTACATGGGTATGGCTGGTCAAATGGCTGAAAGGCTTGCAAGAAAGAGGGAGGATGAGGTTAGAAGACGTGAAATGTTTCTGACAGAGCATAGTGGATACTTTCCAAGAGATGTAATAGAATCCATGGGATTAAACGATATGCCTAACCCGTGTGATGTTCATATAACTCCTTATGACGACCGTTTAATTAACGTTGATATTTCGGACCTTGACCATTATGCTCCTGAGTACTTGTTAGGATTCCCTTCGAAAAGTGAGAAGCAAGGAGGCCCCAAGGATTCCTTTACGAAGTCAGTTGGAGCTTTGAGTTCTGTTGAGGCTGAAGAAATTTCGAAGGGCACCTTTGAGAGTTATGTCTCTGGGGAGCTTGCTGAAGGTTCTGAGTTAGTAGAGATTTCTGGAACCAGCAAGATGGAAGTTGAAAATGCAAAATTGAAAGCTGATCTTGCTTCTGCTTTAGCCTTTATCTGTTCATTCTCTCCCGAATGTGATTTAAATGATGACAGCAAAGTAGACAGTATCTTAAAGAATGCTGCTGAGAAAACAGCTGAAGCCTTGCATCTTAAAGATGAATATGGAAAACAACTTCAATTAATGCTTAAAACTAAGCAGATGCAGTGTGAATCATATGAAAGACGCATTAAAGAATTGGAACAAAGGCTGTCAGATCAGTATTTGCGGGGGCAAAATCTCTCAAATAATGATGTGTCTGATTTTTCAGTTTTGGCTGAAAAGAGTGATGATTGCAAGCCACGAGTTATTGGCTGTCTAGAATCCCCTGCACCTTGTATATCTACTACAGAGCCAATGGACGAGGTTTCTTGCATCTCTAATTCACTGGATGTGAAGCTGGGGCTTTTTGCTGGACAGCCGGGTAGAGCTCAAGAAGCAGTTGATGAAAATATGATGGATTCCCGTGGCGATCAGAACCCTCATTTGGATTCCTCAATGATGGAGCCAAATCGTGAAGAATTTCAAGACAATGATAAATATGTGAGAGATAAAGTAGGACAGATGGGAATATCTCTGACGAACAGTTCCACTGCTGAGAGCATGCCTCGGTCTCTGAATGTTTTACCGTGTGAAACAGTAGAAGATCCCAATTTGGAATCTAATCTTCAGAATGGCCTTCTGCTGGAGTTACAAGATGCACTTGCGGACAAGACTAATCTGTTGAATGAAACTGAGACAAAACTTAAAGATGCTATGGAGGAGGTTGCCTCACTGAAGATAGAGTTGGAAGCTAGTAGGAAGCTGCTTGATGAATCTCAGGTACTAATTTTATTGTTCCTTCTTCTATCTCTTCCGTTAAAGGTTTCTCTCCCTTGGACATCGTTTTTAACGAACGACCAATGCTTTGACAAACTTGCGTTCTATTTTTTACCTTTCCTTTGTCTTATAGCTTTCTCTTGTGCGTTTCTTTCCTTTATCCATCCATCCAACCATCTCCTTTCTTTTTATATGCATGGCTCCTCTAGCCTTCTTGTCTTGTTATGATTGAGCCTTGATTTACGTGAACATAAATGGACACAGATGGAGGTTAGATAAATAATAACTTTGAGGTTTGAACCAGATTTGTTCGATCACCTTACTAATTTATACTAAGGATTTTTTAAGCATATTAAATTAGCAGTATTATACTGGTTGTCAATGTTTTGTGACCAAGATCTAGCTCCTTAGGGAAATTTGTTAGAAGTCATTTTTTGAGTCACTTTTGACGATATTGGATATTTGTTTTACTCCACTCTCTTTCCTTGGAGTGTGGATAGATGCTAGCGAGTTCTGTTTAATTACTATTGCTAGTTGAGGGAAGGTGCCAAAATGTGCATTAGTTGTTGTCAATTTCTGTCAAGCGGTTTCCTTATAGGTTCCTGTATCATCTCCACTCTTACCTGGCATGACACTCGAGAAAAGACCCTTGCTAGTGCCTCTCTTAAGATCCGCAAATTATTAGATCAGTTCAATTCCATTTGAGATCTTGAGAGGGCTCATTTGATTTCGCACTAAATCTTTCATAGTAAGACTGACTAAAAGTTTTGGGTGGCTTACAAGGATGTGTTTTTCATGAACTAGTGATGGTTCTTGATGAAATATCTACGAAATTGGAACTGTCTCTTCCTTCATTGCATTTTTTTAAGTAGCTGCTGGAAACAGCTATTAGAAACGTTGGATATTTCATGGGTTTTCTCGAACCAGATTGGGGAAGGGAAGCAATGGTCCAGTTGTTTGTGGTCGCTTATCAATGGGAATTAACCCTATAGCTTTCGGTTCAACACTTGAAAAGCTTGTCAATGCTCCCTAATTGAAAATAAACAAGAGAACTTCTAGGGAAAAATTAGGCATTTGACCGACGTTTGGTTGTAACTATTCTATTTCTTATATACATGTGTCCAGTGAAGTTTTTCAGCAGTAGCATGGTTGTGTCTGGAGGATACCCTTTTAACTTTCCTTTTTCGTAGTGAAAGTGTCCAGCTGACTAGTTTTCTCCTCCTACAGGAAAATGAGGAATTAAGTAAACTTCATGATTACCTTTTGTCCGTGTGCTTTATTTTCTGGAACTGTGCCTGTGACTCCTTCAGAATCTTTATGGCAGGCGATCCCTAAATAAGAAATATAAATTTGGTGTAAACCAAAACATGAGTTAATCTTATTCATCAAGTAATCCAAAAGTACAAACGATAATTAGTATTTATATTATTTGATAGCCTAGCCTAGTCGTACAATTCACTTACTCAGATCCTATAATGGCATGTTTCAAATAACTAACGCTACTCCAAATAAATAGCCTTAATGACTAGATTACAACCAACCACCCAACTAACGTTTCAATACAACATCACCTACATCAAAGTTTCACAATGGTACTCCAAGCTACAACAGCTATCATATTTCCTCTGGTAACCATCCTTCTCACAAGTTTAAGTGTTCTGTTCCAAAGACCAGTTTCTTCTGTCTTAGGTTTCAACCCCCTTATTCCTCCCCTTTCCTGTGGCAAGGAGCCAATTCCTCCCAGTTGACGAGTTGACTCAATTTATCTTCATTGTTCCCTTCCCTAGGGGAATATCACAGAGAACAAGATATATTCAAAAGAGAGTTTTATCCTATCCAAATGGACCATAATTGATGAAGACACCAAGGATCAAGATTTACCCCTAAAATCTATTTTATGTCAGTGTATATTAATCCCAGATTCTTCCTCAAAAGTTCTGATGGTATGAAACAGCGAGATGCAGATCATTTTGGAAGGAAAATAAAACTGTATCATCTTCATATTATAGATGCATAATAGATAAACCAAGAGGCCCTTTACCTACTTTGAAACCCTTTGTCGTCCCTAAGAGATAATATTCTCTGCTCAAACAATCCATGACAATAATGAAAAAGGAGAGGTGAGAGTGGATCACCTTGGCAAAGATCTCAATGGGAAGATTTTTCCTCTAGGCTTTTCATTGATGATGATAGAGTACTTTGAAACTCCTTTAAGTGTATTGTACTGTACATTTTTGCAAAAGAGTTCAAATGATTCCGAATTATCTTCCAATGCTATTTGATTTCTCTCCCTTTAAATGACCGAGTGTGATAGCTGTGCTTGTGATACTTATCTTCAAATGTTCTGTTTTTTCTTGGTTCTTTTTTTCTATTGTTTGTTTTCTTCAGGAATCAATGGTTGGTACCTTAGTTTTGTTTGGTTGTTTCTTTGGTTTGGAGTGCTTGTATTGCTCTCTTTGGTTGGTTGCACTGTTATCGTTTATTTTTTTCTCACTCCCTATGAGAGTTTGTATCCTTGAACTTTGATATTCTTTTCATCTATCAATCAAAAGTTTGTTGTTAAGAAGAAAATTAACTCATATTTACCTGTTGAAAAAGTGGTTTATTTATTTATTTTTTATTTTTTCCTATCTTAGTTTTCATTGTCATGGTCAATGACTCTTTTTCCGGTCAAATGCAGATTTTCTTTCCAGGTTCTTATGTCGTAAATTATTCTTTATCCATCCTTGCAGATGAATTGTGCCCACTTGGAGAATTGTCTGCATGAAGCGAGGGAGGAGGCTCAAACTCATCTTTGTGCAGCTTCCCGTAGGGCTTCAGAGTATAATGCACTTCGTGCATCAGCTGTGAAAATGCGGGGCCATGTTGAAAGACTAAAAACTTATGTTTTTGCTCCAAGTGGAGTGGCTGCTTTTGCTCATTCCTTACGCACTTTAGCACAATCTTTAGCCAAGTAAGTTACTTGATTTTTTGCACAGTTGCTGATTTCCAAACCATTCCCCTTTACCCACATTAAAAAGAGAGGATCAAATGCAACCTTGTTTCTTGTCTTGTATTCTGTTGTAATCTGCCAATGAACGAATTTATGCTGTTTCAGTTTTTTTCTTTATATGTTTCTTATATGTTTAAATGCACTAGTAATATAGTTTAGGTTCTTGGATGATGAATCTGATCAAGCATATTTTCTTTCTCCGTCCTTTATGGGCTCTATTAATTTTACTTTTGCTATTAAATGGATAAACTATCATAAGGAACTTTGAAGGTAGCTTTCTGATGTTTGAATGACTTCTAGCCATATTGTCAGTTATTTATATAATGTATTACATGTCTAAGTCCACCGATAGCAAATATTGTCCTTTTTAGATTTTTCCTTTCGGGCTTCCCTCAATGTTTTAAAACGTATCGGCTAGGGAGAGGTTTCCACACCTTTATAAAGAATGTTTCGTTCTCCTCCCTAACCGATGTGGGATCTCACAATGCACCTTCCTTGGGGGGCCAGCATACTCGTTGGTACACTGCTCGGTATCTAGCTCTAATACCATTTGTAACAGCCCAAGTCCACCGCTAGCAGATATTGTCCTTTAGGCTTTCCCTTTTGGGCTTCCCCTCAAGGTTTTAAAATGTGTCTGCTAGGGAGAGGTTTCCACACCCTTATAAACCGTTCTCCTCATATAAATTCCTTAAGAATCCTCTTAGTTACGAGATTAGTTCTTCTATGATCTAGGAAAAGAACTATAGAGAGATGGCTGGACTTGTAAATGTAACTTTTTCTATTTTCCATCAAGCTTTCATTCTGGATTCTAGAGATTTTCTTGTGTAAGTATCCATTTATGCAATGTTTTATCAGTTATTGATTTCATTAATGAAAACTAACCTGTAATTCTTTTAGTTCTGTTAGCGACAATGAAAACGATGGCACCAATGAATTCCGCCAATGCATCTGGGCTATAGCAGAGAGGGTCGGAATTTTGGTCAAAGAACGTGAAGAACTGCTTGAAAAATACCCGAAGCTTGAAGCTGCGAACGAACAACTTGTCAAAGAACTAGAAGAAAAGAAAGAGCTTGTTAAAACTTTGTACTCAAAGCATCAACTTGAGAAGCAGGTAAACCTCCGATATGATTTCCCTAAATACTCTGTAGGAATCCTATGTTAGGAATCATGACTCTTCACAATGGTATGATAGGGTCTATTTTGAGCCTAAGCTCTCATGGCTTTGCTTTGGGCTTTTCCAAAAGGCCTCCTCATACCAATGGACATGTATTCCTTACTTATAAACTAAATTAGCTAATGTGGGACTCCCATCCAACAATCCTCCCCACGAACAAAGTATATCATAGAGCCTCCCTTAAGGCCTATGTAGCTCTCGAATAGCCTCCCCTTAATCAAGGCTCGATTCCTTTCTCGGGAGCCCTCGAACAAATTACAATCTTTGTTCAACACTTGAGTCACTTTTGACTACACCTTCGAGGCTCACAACTTCTTTGTTCGGCATTTGAGGATTCTATTAACATGAATAAGTTTAGGGAACATGGATATCAATATTATCCACTTTGAGCATAAGCTCTCATGCTTTGCTTTAGGCTTCCCTAAAGGGCCTCATACCAATCGAGATATATTCCCTACTTATAAACGAATGATTATTCCCTAAATTAGCCAACTTGGGACGCCCTCCCAACAATCCTCGACATACTCCTTAAAAAATTTATAGATTTTAAGAATTGTTTGTATGATCCACCTACCTATACTGTTAAATATATCCTTGGTTTATGATTGTTGAGTTTTATGCAACCTCGATTTGAGCTTTGAAACAGGCAAACAAGGAAAAGATTTCATTTGGTCGCATGAAAGTCCACGAGATTGCTGCGTTTGTTCGGAATGCAGCTGGACATTACGAGGCAATCAATCGGAACTGCGCCAACTACTACCTGTCTGCTGAATCTGTGGCTTTATTTGCAGACAATCTCCTTACCCGGCCTAACCACATTGTTGGGCAGGTTGTCCACATTGAACGCCAGATCGTGAAACCATCGCCGCCTTCTCCTCGGCGTGATCACGGTAGGGTGGATCAAACTGATTGTGTGATCTCCGACTCGGGGACTGATAGGTTGACCTTGAATTCAGGTTTATCTTTGAACCCGTACAGTCTTCCCGTCGGATGTGAATATTTTATAGTAACCGTAGCGATGTTACCGGATACTGCTATTCATTCAACAGCTTCCTGATCTCCCTGCAAACAAGCGACTGACATGATGGAAGATCCCAAATGTAGATATTAATTACATTGAAGAACAATTGTTGGGAGGTGAACTTTTTTTTATTTTTCATTTTGTACAAATGATGGTGGATGAGCTTTTTAACAAACCCATCTCTCTCTCTCTCTCTCTCTCTCTCTCTGTAAATATTTAACCTTCCAGTGTGTGGAAAACTGTGAATATTATTGCCACCCCTAGTCTTTAATTTGACTCTACTTTGACTTCCATATATATATTAATATAAGAACTTCTGAACTTTATTAGTTCAAAAAATTGAATCATATCTTATGCTTATGGATTGGATTCAATTACTAGTTTTAGAGTTTTTTTTGGTTTTGTTGTTACAACTCTTACTATTTTTCTAACTCTTTCCAATTTAAGAGACTAATTTTCTTTCCTTTTTAAGAGGCGAATTTTAACTCTTCCCTGTTTAAGAGGTGAAGTAGAGAGATTCTTAGATAGAGTGCTCTTGAAAAATGGGTGGCTTCAAAATTTTAGATTTAGCTAATTGTTTTTAGTGTATTGAGGTGTTTCAGGTCTCGAACTAAAACAATACGAAAGTTCTCTTACGTCTAAAATGTAAAATTTAGGTGAAATTAGTATTGTTTTGTGTTTCGATATCAATTTATTAGGTATAGTTCTGAAATGTGGAACTTGGATCTTAGTTTCGTGTTTTTTTTTTTTCAAATATGAAGCTCTTAAGTTTAGGGTTTAAAAGAAAATAAAGCATTTGGATCAAAATAGAATAAATTTGGCCCTATACATTAACCATTGATTTTTGTTCTTGAAATTTACAATTAGTTTCTTATAAACTTTTCAACTTCCAGAACTCTAAATAATAATAAATTAAAAATTAGCTTGGTTTTTTTAAAAATAAATAATAAAACAAAAGGAATTATAGGAAGTAGAATTACAAAGATTAATTTTAAAAAAATAAAAATAAAAATCAATTAATAACAATAAAATAAGACATCTAGTTTGAAGTTGTATAAGCTCTAAAATAGAATTGATTGACCAAAGGATATTCAATTTACAACTTATGTAAGGTGGGGACTGTCTCGTAACATTACAGAGGAAAGAATTAAAACAGCTGTAGACATAATACATCAAATGCCTAAATACATGAATAACACATACAGGATTCTTCATCAATATATATATTTCAGAATCCCGTGAGGAATTTGTCGAACGCTTTCAAAACCGTTCTGTTGCCGATTTCTGAAACAAGATACAGAAACATTTCAGCCATAGTTAATTCTCATCATCTTCTTCAGAGATGTTGAACAAAAACTTCGGGATAGATGCGATTCGAGGAAGATGCAACAACAACTCACTGAATGAATCCTTCCTAGACATACCGACTGCCTGCTTAGTGCCAGTGTTATCTTTTACGTCCTCTGCAAAAGCTTTGACATCGCTTTTCGACATGCTATCAGTTGTGTCGCTCTTCTTGTCATCAGGTGCTTCACCATGACTTTCTTCATCGAACTGTGAATTCTGAGTTGTTGTATTGGTTGGGTCTTTCTGCAAGAGACAACAGAGAGAATTGACCCTTTTCATGAGAGATTTCTCATCGGAAGTTGTAGATTGGTTGTCTGTCAGTAAATACTGCGCAATATCCTCTAGTATGTCCTGGCAATCTGGTCCTTGATCAGCAAATGATGTATTTGCCGCTGTCATCTGCTCTGTAATGCAGTGTCCAATATGATTCACGAGATCGCTCATCGACATGGACGGGTGGAGCCCAGGCACTTTCATTTGTTCCCAATTTCTTGTGCTTCTAGAACTACCAACTTCAAAATTTGCACTTGCTTCGGCTGTAAAAGATTCTGTCTTTTATTAGTAACAAAGGAACAGCACAGATATTTTATTACAAGCAAACGTTCGCTAATTCCTGATAGAACCCTAGAAAATAACTCCAAGATTCCAGAAACAAATTACAAAAGATATCGATGACCAGGAATATTGACTGTTCATTCAAATCATGATGTGCAACAAGAATTTATGAACTAAAAGACTTGCTTCCCTTTTGTCTCCAATTAAATAACATGAATAAACCAAGACAATACACATGATTCATTAGTAGAAATATGGCGTGGAAAAAGCATACTAAATTCTTCTCTAAACTAATCTTTCTTGAATGAATTCCTTTTGAAAGTGAATTAATTTAAGTCAACAAGCCATATAAGGTATTTTTTGTCAAGCAGAGATGATATTGTGATGAGGTGGATAGATTGCTGGGCCACCCTTCGTTCATCATCGCTCTTTTTTCCATTTATCAAAAGTTATAACCACTAGTTAAAATATCTTCAATGTTGAAGTCAAAGAGATTCACTCTGTATGTAATTTTTAACTTATTCAATAATATCTAAATAAAATAATCAATTAATAATAAATGCAAAAAAAATTCTATGTAAAACTTATTCGCTAAAACACATATAACAAAAGGCAGATTCATAAAATGTCACCTGAGGAAGGTGATGGGGCTTCTTGAGAGTGATGTTCCACCGTCGTACAAGTAGAGTCTTGTTGTTCTATCTTCAAGGATGATTGCTGAGGAGATGGTGAAGCACCGTCTGTCAGAACAGAAACAGCTGATCCCTTGCTATTTTCTGCTTGGTGTTCTGGATCCTCAAAAACAGAAACCCTTCGATCAAAATATGGTGAATCCAAAACTATCTCTGGCTGCCGGCTTAAAAAGTTTAGACGCATGTCGCACTGGGTTAACTTTTCAAAGTGTTTGTTCAACAACCCTTGAGGACATTGCAGAAAATGTTGCCTAACAATCACAAAATTAGATTTCCATTATGATTATAACCGAAGTCCAGAGCCCAGAGTCCGAGACATGTAGAGTTGTCCTTACATGAGGAAAATAAATCATTTTTATTGAATACTTCTTATCTATGCAAGTGATATATTCAGGTATGCACGCATCTTATATGTTCAGCTTTGCGCAAGGAAGATGTTAATTTTCTCATCCAAACTAAAAATAAAAAAGGAAAAAAGGAGAATGATAGAGAGATCCTCATAGAAACCATGTCATCTAGAAAGTTATCTCCCAGGTCCACATATTCTTCAGTGGATCTATACTTCCTTTCTTCTCAAAAGATGGAAAGTTGCCAGAAGAAAAGAATATTCCATGGTCAAAGAAAGACGTGTTTTATGCACCCAATTGGTGAGTCAGCACTCAAAAGCAATTGAGGGAAATGATAATGAAATTACAACATATTCAAATTTCGCACTCTTGAATCTAAACATAATATAGCAAAACAGAACTTCCTCTACTCAAAAAGTTAAGTACAAAAGACATGAAGAACATCCATAATCGTCAATATAGAGAACTTTCCATCGTTGACTTTGATGGGGAACTAAATTTACGAGGAGAGCACAAAATGAAAAGCTTTGAGCATAAAATTCGACATGCTTCAAAGATGGTAAAATGACAAGCATTACCTGTGCATAGTAGCCTGGCCATCAGTAAAGTCGGCAGTCGCCTGCCATAATGTGTGTTTTCTTGGTTGAGGGTTTGTCTCCCGGAAGAAAAGAGGTTGTCTAGCCAACTACATAAAAGAGAATTAACAAATGAAAATAGGCAGTCATTGGATAAAAGCAAGAAGTCCTCCATATAAATACACTCTCATGCATTAAGCTAAGAGAAAGCGTGCAAGGCAGGCATTAGTAAGAAAAAAAGAGGCGCGTACCACCACATTCAGAGTACCAGGTCCATTATCGGGGCAGTGTGCCTTTAATGCCATAATATCAGACCACTGAATTTCTATTTTACTCTTCAACCCACCTTCAAGAATTTCCCATACAAGCTTATGCTTAGCAAAGTAACATTTTGCCACCAAATCACCTTCATATCTTGATTTATACTGTCAATAAACAAGACCTAAATTACTTGATATCCACAGGTTTAATTATTAGAGACACATGGGAGATAGGTTGTACCTCCCAACCACCAATTTGTAGAAGCGATGCAGGAAAGTTTGAAGCTTTCAGCTTGTCAGTAGAGCTCTGAATAGAAGTGCAATTATTTTCCGTTTTCATTGAAGAGTTAAAGCTTTCACATTCCGCCACATCAGTTGAAGCAGCAGTTGATTGAGAAAGCTTCATTTGAATTAGATCCAACAGTGAAGGGCTCTTCCTCAACCGCAAACCAAGAGGGCTAGGCTCATCAAGAGGATTGTATTGAGCAGGCGGCACAGGAAAATCATCTGTACCATCACTCTGTTGTTTCTCGTTTGACAAGATCATGCAAAAACAGAACACAAAAAAAAAAAAAAAAAAAA